ACTGACACACATATATAGAGAAGTCTATGGCCTTAATCCATATAGAAAAACCTTTGAACTAGCATATCATCCTGAGTTATGGTGGGTCAAATAGTATTTGAAGCAGGGGAATAAATGTTGCAAAGCTTTGCGTAGATACAGGCAGTTAGAGATTTGTGAGCTCTAATTTTAACCATAACCATAACCCCATATCTGATACATGTCAGCAGGACTAAAAACACTCTCTTCTCTCAGCCCAACTCATCTCATAGGGCTGTTGTGAGGAAAATAGGAGGAGGCATGCTGTTTGGAGCTTTCGACAAAAAAAGGGCTGTAAATCAAATAAATATGTACATATATGCATGCAAGGTTTTTTATTTGTTTGTTTGTACTGTGTCTTAGCAAATGTATAATTATCATTGTCATCCATCTTTCCTACAGAAGAGAAGATAGATTTTTATGGCAGAGGTTAGACTATTTATTACTATCCAGCCACATCATAAATGATGGTTTGGCAAAAGATTAGGCAGACAATAGACACAATTTGCCTGAGCATCTATCCCTGCTCTTAAAATCCACAATACTTGTAGCCAGTCATAATACTCTTTGGTTACATAAACTCGATGTAGATTTCTGTAAGAGCCGGCTGCTCTGATATATTTTGTTCCATGGTATATAATATATTAATGCTAATTATAGTCCTCAGTATATGAACCATATTAGACCTGTTGGGCTGTTATGGTAGATATAAAATACAATAGTCCTTGATTTACAATCGGTTGCTTAGCTACCATTCAAAGTTACAACTGATCCCCCAAAACTCAGTGCAACTCAGTTCAGAAGTTCTGATAGCCAGGCTGCCTCCTCAGGTCATGTGACCACAATTTGGGTGCTTGGCAAGCAGCTCACACTTACAGTTGTTATGACCATGACTTTACATTTTTACTGAAAACTGGTGTTTGCTTCCAGTTTGGAGCAAAAATGCCACATAGTATATAATTGGTTCACTTAGTGGCCACGGCATTCACTTAATGGCTGTGGAGTTTGCTTTATGACTGTTGCGTTCACTTAACAACTGCTGCAAAAAGTCATCGATCAGGTGATTCATATGATGACCTGCTTTATGACCATCACAACTGACAACCATAATTTGTAGGCTCTGTTACTTTGTAGGTCGAGGACTATCTGTACATTATGGCCTATCAAGGACATCTGGGTCAGCCCTTCTCAAGATAGTAACACAAGCATTCATTGCGCTCCTTGGCTAACCAATAATTGACATCAGCCTAAATTAGAGCCAAGCAAGTTCAGGTGCATATGCAAAAGGCTCCTTTTCTGAATAGAGATCCTTAAATAATCTTTACTTCTGGACTTGCACAGATTTTAGATTGGCTCCACATGTTGATGGTGGAGCTGCAGTTGAAGTATATGTCAATACTGACACTTAGGCATCCATCATCTCAGTTGGTACATTAAATGTGTGGTGCCACGAGCTAATATGTTGAATAACAATTACAGAGTACACAGTGTCCATGTTGCTATTCGCAAACAATTCCCCAGAGGCATCTCCTTTTACATACAGAAGGCAATGGTTCTATGGCAATTGATTATAACCGAACTATTGGCATCCAAACTAAAAAAGCATAATTTTAAGATGTTTGTTTGTATTAGGGCAATGGTTCTCAACCTTTTTAATGCCGCGACCCCCAACCAGTCATAAGTCGAGGACTACTCAACTGGTGCAGCACCATTTGCAGAATGGGACTTTTGGCGGGCTCAGCAGGGCAGAGATAGCTTGGACAATTCCTATTGGCTTTTGAAAGCCAATAGAATTAGACTCTATTCAAGAGAGTCTATTCTATTGGCTTTCAAAAGCCAATAGAATAAAAGGGAGTAGCACAGCTAAGGAAAAGGGGGAAAAAAAAGGCGGATTGCGTTGTTTGGCGACCCCCGTGAAATGGTCGTTCGACTCCAAATGGGGTCCCAACCCACAGGTTGAGAACCACTGTATTAGGGGAATATATGTTTCATCTGTTCCTACAGTGGTTCTGATTTCTAATTCCTCTTCTAAAGAATCTCTTTTCTCTTTCTGTCTCATGCCAAGGCCTCTGGTGGTATCTCCTTTATCATCTGCCTGTATTCTCTAAGGGAGCTCTATCTCACAAACCTAAGAACTGTGACTGTGAAAATTGCAAAGGGCTTGTCTAATTCTTTCTAGAGATCAAGGAGAAAGCGTGAAGTGGAATAAAGTGCCTCATGGTTTGCAGCTGTTCCAGGTACATAAATAATGTGGGCAGAAAAAGGCACTGGCAGCAGCCGAACTTTTGGCATTTCCCCTTTTTTTCTGAAATCTTTTCGCCAAGCTCCACTCAAGCTTTATTCCTTCTTCGTACCTACCCAAAACAGGGACATTCACTCCAACTTGTAGTGCAGCTTGCATCTCGATCCTTTACAAGAAATAGTATATATGTTCATGAAACAACTTCTGAGATCAGAATAAGTCATTTTTATTTTTTAAGAGGAGGAGCCCATCTCAGACCAAGTCAAGCAGCTGAATTACACTGATATCAGTGGGAGAATCAGACAAAGGCTGAAATGTGTGTTTCTGAAATGTGTGTGATAATATGAAGGCTACATTTGACCAATTATGTTAAAAGCATGCAGTTAAAAGTATACAGAAAGATAGATCTTCTTAGTTCTGTCTATTTATGCTGAAATGATTGTTTGTTGAAACCAGATGAAAACCCCTGGGGGGGGGGGAGGAAATCTGCTAGATTTGTCTTACAAGGACAGAAACAATTCAGTTCAAATGCTTTCACCAGTCTACTTTGTGAATCCCATGAATTGTATGCCAATTCATGTGGATATTTAAGCTTTTATCGTGATGTATATGGTACTATTTGATTGATTCTCATGAGGATTCAAACCTCTTTAATCTGAATCCTTGGATTTGGATTTTGTTATTTTGCTGAGTGTGAGTCCTCTTCTTACAAAAACCTTCTAAAGTATCATCTACAGAGCGATGCTTATTGACCATCTTCTAATTTCACAGTACTGCTATTTGATGACAAGAAGAGCACTGCGTGGCACATTCAGAATAACACTCCCTGATATGAAGAGCATCATGTTTCAATAGTCATTATGGGAAAATTCTTCTTATCTGAGGAAATAATTTCAGATTATTTTCATTGGTTTTGTTAGTGAAAATCATTCTTACTATTGCAATTTCTATTTGTATGTTTTGCAGTCTTTTTGAATTTATAATTTCTCCTAAACTGCAAATGTGTGTGTGTGTGTGTGTGTGTGTGTGTGTGTGTGTGTGTGTTCATTTAGAGCTACAATTCTCATCATCCATGGTTATTTTGGCCATGGTGATGGAATTAGTAGTACAAATAATGTGGAAGGATCAGATTGATAAAAGTTAGCTTAAACTCTTCTTTTTTGTGTATATTTGCCTTCAAGGGAGTGTTGAATTTGTGTGACTCCCACAGTTTTCTTGGTAACAAGTGGCTTGCCCTTGTCTCTTCCTTCAGATGATTAGTTAAAAACAATAAGTTGCTGCAGAAATATTAGAGAATAATAAGCATCAGTAGACATGAATTTGCACATTTTTAAAAATTCTTTAAAAATCGAGAATACAAAAACCACATGGGTGGGGGATCACATGAAGTATTAATACCACTTTACAGTGCCTTGGTAAGGCCACACTTGGAATTCTGCATCCAGTTTTGGTCACCACGATGTAAAAAAGATGTTGAGACTCTAGAAAGAGTACAGAGAAGAGCAACAAAGATGATTAGGGGACTTATAAAACATATAAGGAATGGTTGCTAGAATTGGGTATGTCTAGTTTAACGAAGAGAAGGACAACGGGGGACATGATCGCAGTATTCCAATATCTCAGGGACTGCCACAAAGAAGAGGGAGTCAAGCTATTTTCCAAAGTGCCTGAAGGCAGGACAAGAAGCAACAGGTGGAAACTAACCAAAGAGAGAAGCAACCTAGAACTAAGGAGAAACTTCCTGACAGTTAGAACAATTAACCAGTGGAACAACCGGCCTCCAGAAGCGGTGAATGCTCCAACATTGGAAGTTTTTAAGAAGAAACTGGACAGCCATTTGTCTGAAACGGTATAGGGTTACCTGCCTGAGCAGGGGGTTGGATTTGATGACCTCCAAGGTCCCTTCCAACTTTACTACTACTACTATTATTATTATTATTATGTTTTGCAAGATAGACACTGAGTATTCCTGTGAAAGGAATAGGTTGCACAAAGCTAAAATGTTCTTTGCCTGATTGCAAATATCTTCTTTCTGTGTGTGATCTGGAAGACACATAATTTATAGGTAGGTTGGTACAAAGGGTCAGGAGAGGATTTTCTCAAACTACACAGGCTTAGAGGTCTGTACAATTTGCTTGAATTGAAGTCACAAAAAGATAATTACTGTAAACCAACACACTTTTCTTTGACTTTGATAATAAGTTCTCCCTTGCAATCTTGTAAGAGTTCACGTCTACTGCTAACTGCTTTTTGTGTTGGTGATATACTAATAATAACAAAAACAGCAGGAAACATGGATAGATACACATACAAAAGGAGCTCCACATATACTACTCACTGCATTAGTGTAAATAGAAAGTCTTTAAAGAATTTCCAATTATGGCATATACTAATCAGCATTTGGAGCACCTGGACTCTGTTTATGGATTAAATGATAATGACCACAAGCAGGACAGAATCCAGGTCAACAGATGCTAAATAATTCAGTAAACTGATTTATTAATTGAGTGCCATAATTGCCCACCTGATCTTTGACTTGAATTCTAGTCCCAAATATAGGAGGTGCTTTCATCAGATGCATTCAAACATGTTATGAAAATCAAAAGTATTATGTTTAAAACGAGATACTAATTCTTTGGTTGGAATTTTACTCTAGAAGTTGCAAACTATGGTTTTTGTTCAGTGTAGATATTCTTAATGAGTTTCTGTTTTTTAAAATGAATAATCTAAATAGTCAGGCTTTTCAGTTGACCGTTTGACTTTTAATGATAAACAGAAATAATTTGTTTGACCTTTCTCTTTGTTCTGCAACTTAATGCACAGTAGTCACAAGCAATGATGAATGGCTAAGTACTTTTTTCTCTGTTTTTCTTTTTGGTTGATCAGAAGTAGCAGGCTGCAGTTCCTGGGTCTGCCGGCTTGGGGGGTTTTTTGGTCATAAATTCTTGTTATAAACATCCACTTTAAACTTAGTCCTTTTTGTTATCAAGAAACAATTGATAATAAAAAGAATAAGAATAAAAAAGAATAGGAATGCATCATTGAACAAGAAATCCGAACACAGTGTCCGGGAAGTGAAACAAAACTGCAGTTCGTTCCTCTTGAGCTCAGATATCATTTTTTTGCGAAGTGCAGGAGGGGAAAAGCACCTCACATCTTTAGAAGCTAAGCTTCCCACTTGGTCGTCCAACCAGTTTTTCAAATACAAAATCCCACAGTCACAATGCCATGGATTCCTAGATAGATTGATGATCTTCAACACCTGAAGATGGTCAAATGCTCCTGCAGGTATCGTGGCTAGTTTATTGTCCTGGAGGTACAACTCTTCTACTTGACTTGGCAAAAGTGGAAGCACCATCATTCCCATGAAGCTACAGTTCAGTTTTAGTGGACTGTTTCCTGGTGGAGAGCATGTACACTGGTGTGGACAATGGCTTGCAAAAGCAGCTTCAAGAAACAGAAGAATCAGCAAGCCTTGACCTGGGATCATTCTGAAAATTTAAATATAAAGAAATAAATTAGTGTAAGTTTATGAACATTTAGCTTTGCTCAACATTCTCCACAATAAACCCATAAAATATGTTGAAATAAATCAAGGGTGTCCAACCTTGGCAATTTTAAGACATGTACATTTCAACTCCCAGAAATCCTCGTCCAACATGGCTGGCTGGGGAATTCTGGAAATTGAAATCCAAAGGTCTTTGGGCACTTTTGATGTAATTATCTCAAGCTCATAATACATTTCAATAGGTGAGTTAATATTTTAATATTTTGTGCCGTTTATCAAAGCCCCCCCCTTAGAGTTACGGTTTCTTTAATATTATTGTTAAAAACAATTTCATATCAGACACAAAACGAAGTTAGCTTTTGCAATATATGATAGCTCACATCTAAGCCGAATCTTCTCCTAACTGCCCCTTTCAAATAAGGAAATCAATAGCTTTATAAGCAGCTAGCAGGAAAGGAAAGTTGATTTTCATACAACAATTTATTTCTTATTGTGTTAGACCATCTGTGAAACACAAGATGAGTGTTTTCTTTCAAAGGAAAGACCTGATTTCTATGAAGGCTTATGTATAGAAATGTTTTTCTCAGTTCTGAAGTTCAGATCCGAATCTTTTCAGTTCTAAATGAAATTGTAGGCACAACCTATTTACAGAGAAATCCATTAGGTTACTCAGAATGCAACATTTTTTACAGAACAAATTAAACATAATCAGTCCTATGAGATGTTGTTTTCAAATTATGGGCAAGTGGATTCTAGTAGATAATGAAGTGGAGGACTACATCTTTCTCATGGCATCCCCACCCCCAAAAAAATTCAAAAATCAAGGACGCTTTATTGATCTGCTACATCTGTGCAAAATTTAAAGAGTTGTGATACATAGTATAATATCAACTTATTAGATTTCACTCGGACAGTCATAAAAGAGTGAGCTGTCGAAGGAGGAGGAATGGATAGATTATTAAATTTAATTCACATCTGTGATCACCAGGAATGTATTGGATAATCATGAGAAAGTCATGATCTAAATCATTATTTTGTTATAGAATTATTGTAAGAATAAAGTAAGCTGACATTTATTAACTCAGTGAAAGAAGGATGGAATACCACAAAAGCAGCCAGTTCTCCATGTCCTGCCCCTATTTACAGGTAGTCCTCGATTTACGAACACAACTGAGCCCAAAATTTCTGTTGCTAAGTGAGACAATTGTTAAATGAGATTTGCCTCATTTTATGATCTTTTTTGCCAGAATTGTTAAGTGAATCATTGCAGTTGTTAAATTAGTAGCATAGTTGTTAATTGAATCTGGCTTCCCCATTGATTTTGCTTCTCAGTGCAGCGGGACACTGCAACTGCCTTAAATACGAATCAGTTCTCAAGCATCTGAATTTTGATCACATGACCGTGGGGATGCTGCAATGGTCATAAGTGTGAAAAATGGTCATAAGTCACTTTTCCACTGCTGTTGTAACTTCGAATGGCCACTAAATGAACTGTTTTAAGTTGAGGACTGCTTGTTTGCTGGTGGCACTCTTTTTGAAAAGCTGAAAATGTAGCTCAGTGGACTCATCCGCTTAGTCAAGTAACAGATAAGTGGAGCTGAATCCAGAGCAGAAAATAATCTGAAGTTGCTATCTCAGACGTTGCTCATTTCCAAGCTGGTTGGAAAGACCAAAAAGTGCAGGCCCAACCCATATAAAAAAACTTACTGTAATTAGGGAAGCTTTCCAACCCTTACGTAGAAGTGCTCTCAGATCTGTGGTGGTTGGTGATATCGTATTAGTTTTTCTTTGGGGGGTTTGGGTTTTGTTTTGTTTTTGTATTTACCTTTCTAGACTTGTAAGATATTTTATGGTTTTTCTTTCTGTTTTTATAATGTAAGCAGCACAAAGTGGTCTGGAGTTTGGTCATCTCTAAATTTTATAAAACAAATAAATAAAAGCAAATAACAATTTTGTGGGGCTTACGTCTGGAGAGAAATAGAATTAGAATATAGAATATATATTGGAATATAAAATTTGAGGAACTTTAAGGAAATAGCTGAATATACCACTACGAACTAAGTGAAGACAGGAGAGAGAGTGGGTGGGGTCCTTTACCATTTTGACCCTTCCCCCTTTGCAGCTGCTGCTGTTTTTCATTGTAGATGTGCAAATAGAAATAGAATGACATTACATCCTGCAATGATATCTTTAACCCCATCAAACAACATCTGCCTATCCCAGATCATTGGGAAACACTGGATAGGTGGATAAAAATGACAAATGCAGTCCAAACATCTAGCTGACTACATGACCAACAAAAATAATAATTTATTTTTTTACTACTATTGGGGTTTGGGGTTTTTTTGTAGCTTTTTACCCCCTTTTTCTCTTTAGAAATATAAAAAAAATCAAAATGTCTTTGATACCATAAAAAGAACTTACCTCAAGCCAAAGACACATGAGAACGTCTTCTGCACACCTTTGCATTCTCTTAATTTTGTTTGTAAAAATTGACATTGATCGTCAGCATCTCAGCTTTCTGTGCATTGTTCAATACAGGAAAAGATGAAGCTGATTCACAGATCACATCCCCTTTCTGAAGCTCTCCAGGAAACTTTCTGCACATGATCCATTTTCAGTGGGTGGCACAGTTATTCCATCCTTCCGTGGGTTGTTACAATGAGAACTGCAATCAACAGCACACCCTATGGAAATCCATTTGATTGGCTATGTAGGAAGTGTCCCGAAGCTTATGAAAGAAGTGGCCGGGGAAGATAAGCCTGTGATACTCCCTCATCCACCATTGCAGCTTCACTCCCTCAGTCTCTGAAAAAATTCCCCTGATAAGGACACCCTGGTTTCCTTTGATAAGGAGAGCTCTGCTTATTAGAAAAGCTGCATTCCTTCAACAATTCTTTAAGACCTCTAAAGTTTATGTTTCCCAGAACAACATTTTTACATTCTCTGCTATAATTAACTTCAGTTCTGATTTCCAAAAATATCTTTAAAATTAGGAAGCCTTTTTTTAATATGGAAAGTGAAAATTGGTACTGTACATGTCTACATTATGTGAATTCAATAAACAAGACTTTATTTGAAACATTTCATATATTTCATATGTTTATAGATATTTCTCCAACTTAAAGCATAGAATAGAAGGACACGTGTCAAGATTTTCTTTCCATTTTGCCTGTTACATATAACTCTTGTATTCCTAATGAACTTTCTAGAGCAGAAAATATTTCATGTTAATTTTATGTGAAATAAAATCTAGGTTTACCTTCACACAAAAGCCAATTATCCTATATAGTGTAACAGCAATAATGATGGAATTTAAAAACAGCACACATAATGGAGCTGCAACTCATTAATTTATAAAGGATGCAAAGCTTACAGTGCAGTTACATTTCTTTGCACATCATTAGTGAAGGATTTGTTTCCATTGCTTGGGGTTTTTTCCAAGCAATTATTATCATAAAATAGCAAATTATAATATTTTCAGTGAAGAATAGTATAGTGCATGATTTGTTTCTCATGTAACACATGAGAAAAATGTGAGTATTAAGTCCAGGTTGATGAAATAAATTAAGTAAAATACTTTATCATTTGTGAAAGGGCTTAGACTTTAAAGAAGGAATGATATCCCTTGATAAATCTAGGGTTTGACATGCTTAGAGCAGTTTCATTTAAATCTATGGTCAACTATGGTCAGACTAACTTAAATTACATGTTTGTAATATGTTGCAATGACTAAATTTTGATCCAATCCTAGTTGGATAATTACAATTTCATGCAAATCCATCTGGCATGCTCTCTCTAGCTTAAAAAATTGATATTTGATAAAAAAAATCATTAAAATTCAAACATAATATCCTCCACACAGAATATAGATCACAAAGACAGGTGTCTTCTAAGCATAACTGAGAACTCTTCAATAATTCGAAGTATATTTGTGGAATAAAATAAAGAAAAAAACTGGAAATTTGTGCCATGGAACTCTACTAGAATTGGTGGAGTGTGAACTATCAACTTGCTTCATTTAAAGGAATAAATCCAACACAACTTTCAGTGATATTAAATAATAAGAGGCATGGTGGTGCATTATTCTGAAATGATTATCACACCATTTATGGATTAGGACTACTCAGCCTATAAATTCAAGATCAAAGTTGTTTCAAGCAAAATGAAGTCCTTGCATACTTCCATATTTTAGATAGCTCTCAGCATTCACTAGCAATACAAAAACTGTGCAAGTTGTCTATTTTTCCTCCCTTAATTATTTTTAGAGAGAGCAAAAAGATAAATAATAAATAAATATTGGGGAAAAATAATGGAAAAATACAGAAAGTTTACAAATGGAAACCATTGTATTACCCCCCATATACTGTAGAAACTTAGAATATGGTAGTGCAATTTCACATTAAAAGAATCATCTGAAACAGAGCTTGCCAAAAAGCCCAGCCATATTTCCCTGTGAAGGAAATATGGATGTATTTGTGACACAGCCACCAAACTCATCAATTTGCTGAATAATTAAGTGTCCATATTTTTTAAAAAATTAATCCCTTCAGTAGATGGATTGATACTTTCAATTTCTAAGTGGATAGGGATTGCAATGCCACAAAAATAAACTATTTTCCAATCCTAAATATTCTGACTATAACATATTTTACTACCAAAGCCATTATACAATATAACTTTCTAATTCAAATTATTTTTTCAGATGAAATTATAAAAGATGAAAGCCCTAGATTATCTCTCCTAGTATTCAGTGACTATGTAAGTAACTCCATTTTTTTAATATGTAAGAATATGCGTTACTACCACACTGAACAAGTTTGCATAAGATCAGGATTATTTATTCTCTTTGCGAATGATTATATGGCTGAGTGACTGGATGCCATAGCAACAGAACCTGTGATGCATGGAAGTACATTTCAATTATGCATATGGGAGCATTAATAAGGATAGTACAATTACATAGCAAAACAACTTATACATCTATCAGAATTATTGGTTTAATAGCAACGATAGTGATTACTGACATACATACATGGAAAAGTGTGTGTAGGGGAAAGTGTGACATCTTCACCAAAAGAGACCTTTGTTTGTGATTATAGATACTTTCAGTTCACAAAATACAACTTTACATGGGTGGTTTTATTCTTATAGCATCTTCTTGCCCACTGCAGCATTTCATTTGGACTTCCTATTTTCAAGGTCATGGAACCGTAGCAGAGGGACTTCAGAAGAATGCTGCTTTCTACTGGCTTGGAAAACTAACTGTTTTGAACATTGCAAAATGCATGCTGCTAAAATTAAGACAATGATTGCCAAAAAAATCAGACCAAAGTCCCTCCAAAAAAAATCACGGCAACTGATTGGCAGCGTTTTCCTACACCCCTCCAGTTCGTTCCCTTTCAGCTGGTTCAAGGCTTTCCTATTTAGAGAAGCTGGAGTTGCACAGGTAGCCGTTGCAAGAGCACTTTTATTAAAGTCTGCTAGCCACTCCTTGAGGTATAAAATAGAGCAGTCACAGTGCCAAGGATTGTTGGAAAAATTAATTTCCTCCAAGCTCGTCAAGTTATCAAGAGCACCAAGAGGAACAGTGGTCAAATTGTTGTTTTGCAGATGAAGAATTTTGATGCTTGAGTTCAGGAGCGGCATCTCCTTGAGGTCCATCAAATTGCAGTTTGCTGCCCATCCCCAGGAATCAAGAGTCTTACAAGGACAGAGCGTGCAGATCCAAGCTTGGGTTGTGTTTAAGAACAACAACATGATTAGCCCTTTGATCATTGAGATTATTAGCCTGTTCCTGCTTGTAGCTGTGGAACAAAAAAAATACACAATATAATACGTGTGAGCTCATTTCTGTCCTGTTCAAGTAGAAGATGAGAGTTATATCCCAAATATCAGGAGGTGATAGTGGTGCTGCCCAAACTGTGGGGTTAAAAATGGACCCAGAAGGTAATTCTTGTTAAAGCCATTTTATATTCTTAATTAGACTTCCCAAGATTATCACTGAAATGTCATGATCAATGACTGGAGAACAAATATGGATTCCCCACTGGCCATGTCTCTTAGATGATCCCTCTTCCTTTCTTCCATCTTAGTTTAGATTTCTCTTTTCAGCTCAATTAGTCTGCTCAACAGCCATAAGTATTCATATTTTTTTAGATGCTGATGCTTTTTTATTTCAACAATAATATTTGGCCTTTGAATACATGAAGCCTTTCTCATTTGGCATTCTATGAGAGATTGTGATTGAAAAAGAAAACTTTGCACACCACCCAATGCTAGCATTCACAGTGGTAAGGAATGTTTATGCATTGCAACTCACATTTGCTGTGGATTGTGGATTGTGTAGGTTAGATTAGTTGTATTGTGGAGTTTTCATACTTTTTTTTAAGGCAGGATTCCCTGGGACCTGAAAATTATTTCAAGGGATTCACCAGAGCAAAATAATTGAGAAAGGCTGGTATAATTAAAATTTAGTCAACTCCAGAAATGTTTATAAACCGAATATGAGTTTCATCTTTACCAATTCTGAGGAATCCTAAAAAGGTCTTGGAGACTCATAAAGCCCCCTTTGCCTACGTTGTTTTAACTCCTTCCTTCAGGTCAATGTTTCCCAACCTCAGCAACTGGTGGACATGAACTCCCAGAAGTCAGGTTCACACAGCTTCAAGTTGCTGTGGCTAAGAAACACTGCTTTAAGTGATAACCTGTCATAGTAGTCATTTGGTTGTTTGTCCTACTAGCTTTCAGAATTGTTACAGATCACCCAGTACATTAGAGTGGCTCTCTCTCTCTCTCTCTCCATGGAATTCTTGTGGAATACGAAAGGACTCTTACGAATTCCAGAGGGTTTAGCAGAGAGATTTATTGCACAGGTTCAGAAGCTATAGCGAGGGGCAGGTTCAGACTTCATTTTTATACTTTCTTTTTCTCAGGAACAAAGGACTACACCTTGTGATACACATTGTGATACATTAGGTCCATTTTTCACGGGTATACAATGGAGAGTTTGCTACATACATTGTATCCAAGTGCAATGTGCATTAGGTTAGTCACATACTACTAATGCAGCATTATTCCAGTAATTATGCAGACACATCATTATTTTAGTGATTGTTCATTATTATTCCACATTAGAATCACCATTGCTAAGTAATAAGGAGGACTTTTCTACAGGTAATAGTTTCTTATATTCACACATAGGATCATACTACTAAAAAATTAAACTTTTAAAATCACATATCTCTCTCTCTCCCTCTTTCTTTCCCTCCTGTCCTCTTCTTTTTCTGTTCTAACTTTGATGGCTGACTCAGCCGCTCATTTTCTGAAGACTACAGCTCGCATTGTTCATGATGCATTATGTAGCAAACATCCATGCATCTTTCATAATCTGATGTTATTCTAAGTGCTTTGCTTTTCAATGGAGTCAGTGCATGCATTCAGTTGAGATAAAGTGCTAAATAAGCTAATGACGCACAGGCATTTGAGGCTTTGAGTTCTATGCTTTTTATGTAAGTGTTCTTTTTCTTAAGAAATGACACCCTACATAACATAGTGATCTGATGTTTTAAATGGATCTGAATAGTTGCAATGCTACGTGGAGACCAACTTATCTAAAGCAGCACAAATAAAAGCCAATCAGATAGTTATTCTCCTACATGTTGGATGTGCATTAACTTTATGTTTTTATTTGATTTCCACAGCTTCCCATCCCAACAAGTAGCTCTGATTAGCATTATCATTCATAGAATCACAGAACTGTAGAGTTGGAAGAGACCACAAGATTCAGCTAATCCAGCCTTCTGCAGCGTGCAAGAAAACCAGTTAAACAGTTTGCAAGTGGTGGCTGACCAGCCTCTTTTTAAAATCTTCTAGAAATAGAGAATCCCCAGTAGGCAGAATGGAAGTGGCCAAGAGAAATGACTGACCCAAAATCACAACGATAGTCTTGTGCCTAAAGCAGGACTCAAACTCATGGTCTACTGGTTTCTAGTGTAACACCTTAATGACTTTCCCTGTCAATTATGAAGGGGGGAGGGTGTCAAAAATGTTCCAGTCTATGTGTCAAATATGCTAGGCATGCCACTGGTTTCACCAGTGCAAAGTAGAGAAAACAAAAATATTTTGATAGACTGTTTCTTCTAATGAAGTCTAGAATAATCCACCAAGGTTTTATTCAAAGTACAATAATACCGTTACCACATTCAGTTTTATTATATAAATTGCCCCTAAGAATCTTTCAGTATAATGTATAGAACTTTTTAAAGCACAGAGAGATGGTGCTTAGAATCAGTCAGGATAAAACAAATGATTCCCCAAAGGGAATATTTAATCCTTGTCTTAGTACGAAGTATTATTTATTAAAATGATTAGCACCAAATAGAAAGTTGAGACACCTATATCTCTGCATTGCATGATTATTCTGCACTTCCAATGCAGCCCTCTGTACATTTATTTGGAGATTAAGTCTCTTGAGGTCAGTCACATTTGCTCTTAATGGAGTAAACTGTTAGTCATTTTCTTATCTGAAATATAAACCATCTAACCTGCTAATTTTAAACAGTTAATATGATGGTAAACCAAATTTCATTTGTACAATATTTAGACCTGGAATGTCATTCCTGTCAGTTGCCTCATAGACACTAAAATTCAGAGAGACGTTGAATGAATGGGAATAAGCAGGATGGCTTCAATAATTTCCAGGGGACAGGGGCTTCCATTTGCCTATCTAAGCCAGGGCTGAGCCACCTATGGATGGTCAAAAACTACAAACAACTTTTGGGAATGCAGACAAGGGCAATAAGAAGACAGCATGATGAATATCATGCAAGTTTCCAATCTTCATGGGAGTTTGGAAGGAGTTTCATGTCTTTTAAAATGATTGTGTACATGCATTGCTCACCTTGCCTCCATCTTCCCAGTGGGACACTTGCATAAGGAGATCAGACGAGCAAACAGATACCAGAAGAGGGAAAAACAGAATTGGTGAGGAAGAAAGGGCAGCAAAAAAAAAAAGTAGTTGCATTAGCTTTGTGAAGTGGAAAGGCCTGTATGACTTCATGGGTGAATGGGGTTTCAACTCAGATCTCCCCCATCCTTGTCTACACTGTGACTAGCCTTCCCCAACTTGACTCCTGTGGATGCATGGAGATGGCGTACTGGCTGGGAATTCTACCCAGTGGCTGCTTTGGCCAGTACATTGCACTGGCTCTCCAGGTCCATGTTGCTTTTCATGCTTTCCCCCCATGCATGGTAGTCCATCTGTAAAGAGGAACAGAATTTACAGTAGGAAAAAGATGGTTTGTTTTTTGTGGGTGTGTCTATTCAAGAAGAAACCATGTTATGAAATTAGGTTTTAGCTATTTAAATATGGATCTGCTGCAGATTATCTTCAGTGGTTTAACATGAAAAATAAGCAAGGTAAAAGACAAAGATGCAAGCTAAAAAGAGAAATGAACCATATTTCTTACCTTTTATTTTATTTTTTGTTTAAATAGAGGCTGTGTTCTTTCACTGAAGCTTCATAACTGGCAACAATGGAGCAAATGCAATAAGTGTTTTTTTTGACACAGGAAGGAAATGAGTTTAGCAAGGGCTCCCCACAGAAGACAAGTCTCCTTCATTATCTCCTGAACCCAAGGGCCATTCAGATGCAGGATGGGTGTTTCCTGCAAAGGGAGCTTCCTTTAAGGATGCCCAACTTTCTCTCTCATCCTTGCTCTACATACTGCCTCATCAGCAAAATATTCTACCCATATCCATGGCTTATGTATGTTGGTTGGTCTAATCACAAGAGACATTGAGGCTGCAGGAAACGAACTTTGTTAGATGGACCATTTTTCTCACTCAATAGAGTGCTGCTTCAGAGACAATTAGGAATGACAGGAGTGACATTTGAGCCCAGTGATTTTGGGTGGAAAAACAAGGTAAGTGAAGGGCACAAGTGAACAGTGGCTCAGATAGTACTCTATGAAGCAGATTGGTTTTAATGGATGAGATTTGCCTGACTCTGCAGGGACATCCACAGAGATGGTCAAGAAAGTCAAGATGGCATCTGCAACCATGCAATTGAAACCCTGTTGTTTTTTTACATATGTTTCATGCACGGGCTGTATAAAAAAGTCATGCAATTGCAGTTGACTTTTTTGACTCCCTTCCCATGGACAACCCCATGTCTCTGCTTTTGACTAGATCAATAAACAGCTACCAAGACTTCATGCTTTATGATTATCACAGAAAAATTTGGAACTTGTAGACCAGCTCTCTTCTCCTTCAGATTTTTATACACATCATCCTTACATAACCATGATTTTTCATCCCACAAATCCTATGCAGACGTTTAAAATTCCTACGTAACTTTAAATTAATCACAATTTTGTATGTTTGTAACTTGGGCTCCCTGCCTCTTAAACGGTGATAAATGATTGTCTTAAGAGAAAAATGAGGAGTCAAAAGAAATCTCATCATAAAAATTATGCCACGCTCCACTACCTATTTTGAGATTTTGTTTAATTATTATTTATTTTGAAAAAAAGTGGCCTAAAGGGTTTCTAGGCCTATTCCCTAGAACTCTAAAGATTAATTGGTAATCTTTCCTTATAAGATGATTTATAGTACACATTTGTTTCTTAACATTTAAGAGCTGCTTGAAAAATAGCTACAAGCAGGAGAATAAACCTTTTGAACCCTTTTAAAAATGATCTTCATGTGGAAATAGAAATGGTTCCGATTAAAATTAACACTCTGGCAGCTTGTCAGCTCTATTGCCACAATCTGTTGCCGAAGAGACTCTTAATGAATGCAGCGCTGGAATTGGCCAGCAAAGATTCAGTCAGTCAGTTCAACACACTCCCCCCCCCCGAAACATATCTTCTGCATTTCCTGTCCACATTATCAGACTATGTGAGGAGAAGGGAAGATGTTCTGATTTGGAAAATATTCAAAGAGCAAATTTCTAAATGAAGTCCAAGTGTTACTCATCCTCTTCATTTTATTTTACTCTATATTATTGCCATCAAAGTACTCCTACCTTCAAAATAGTTTTTCCTCTGGAGGCTCCAAAAATGTAAGAACAATCATCTGAGGTAGAGTGTCTGTGTGGGAGGTTCAAAAAAGTCAAATGGCAGCTACACAGTTGAAAGCCCACCTGTATTTTTATGTTTGTTATTTTAATTATAGGTGGGGCAAGGTGTCCATCACATGAATGTGGCCATTGTTTGATTTTCTTTTATACTGCCCCCCTGGGGATACCTCTGATCTGAGAAATATCTGTTTGCTTCCACTATGAGTAGACATAGTCACCAAAGTAAAATTGGCCGAGCATTTAATAAGTAGAGAATTTATTGATTGTTATCTATTCTCCTGGTTGGTTATTTCACTGATTTCACTATATTAAGAAATAGGCTTTCCAAACCAATCTTTTTCTACTTCTGCTTCCAATTTTCTTTTCCATGCTGCCGCTCATCACCATTACGTTTTAATTGATTAGTTTAATTTATTTATTATATGCGTGCGCTACCCATCTCACCTAGAAGTGACTTATGCTTGTTTCTCCCTTAACATGTTCCATTTTAGAACTGGAACCTGTTTTTTCTTTCTCAGCACCACTCTGGCAATTCTGTTAGTATATATTCAGGTTCACTCCCACAAAAAAAAAAAAAAAAAAAAGCAGACAAAAAGCAGAATTTCTTCTTAAATAATTCTGAAGTAGCATCAAATTATTGCACTTGGCTCAGTCTCTTTTGGTAGCACGAGAGATGCCACTATTGGCACACAGAAACCCAGCAGTGAGCTGAAGTTCAGTTATTCTCCTCTACAGCCACTGATCCCTCCAGAATGAAGAAAGCGGAATCCTATCAGTACAGCAAACAAAATGGCATCTTGAGAGACGTAGCATTTTAGATCCAAATCAAAAAGGTGCTGCTCTGCAGGTATGGGTGTCCAGTCACCACCTCTTTGATTTTCTTAGGCATGCACAATTACCCTATAAGCCCAGGAAAAGTCTTAACATTTTAAAGAAGCAGGCGACAGGTAGAGCACATGAACCCATTCATACCCCAAAGTACCTTTTTGAGTTGGATCCAAAATAGAGCACATCCCCAATCTATTTCTCATCCATTTCTCTTTCCCAAAACAGAGCCAATTTTGGCTGGTCTCAAAAAACGAAGCAATGGTTTGGAGACCATTAAGAAATATTAAGATTGTAGACCATTACAAGATGGTGGACCTCCCAATCTAGCTGACAGTCCTAAAAAATTATCCCGTCCAAGTATTAACTTGGTTCAATCCTCCTTAGCTTTCTAGTCCAGACAAGGCCATCCAGATGCTATCACCTACTGAAACTGTCTGTGAACCTTATATAGCACTATCATAACATGGGCAGCTGGAAGATGTGGGGAATTAGCTATTTCATTAAATGCAGTATAACTCTGAATGAATTCCACAGCATCCCAGATTATTCCCTTCTTGAACTGGCTGTGATTTTTGCTTCTTCATACCTAAAGGGAGGAGAAGAGAAAATTAATCATTGCATGTATTGATTCAGTTGACTCGATGCATAAAAACCAAAGAGATATCTTGGAATAAAATTAACCTCTAAAAAATAATAGTTTAGCAAAGGTCTGTTATATGTCCTTGACAGGAAAATATTACAATTAGTATGATTAATGAGCAGTACAGCAGTAAATATATTGCTTGTATTGTTATTGTTGTTGATGATCTTCCTGTCTGTTTGATGTATGGAGAACTGACAAAAGACAATGAATAATTTTATCGTAGATAGGAATTGTAGAAGTGGTATGTATGTAAACTGGAAAAAATGGGCATTGATTGTATCAAAGCCCAACTCACCAATCTAATGTATTGGAACATCACTTTTAGAATTCTGAACAAGTTGTGGTTTCAATTTGGGATCAAATAAGGAAAGAATAAGCATTCTGCCTTGGCTAAGAAAAAGATAGAGGACAGCAAGGTTGATATAAGGTCAGTTTCCCAACAATTGAAATAGTGCAGAACATTCTGATGCATCCCCCTTAACATCCCTAGTTTTGTAGCTAAACAGCAAAAGCAAATTTAAAATACCCCAGAAAAGAGATTTAGGCTGAAAATTAGACTATTAAGCAATAATCATTTTTAACCTGTCCAGTAAATAATTTTTTTAAAAAAATATTTTACCATTGCTATTTTATTCTTGGGCCTTGTCCTTTCATCCTGCTTGCCAAAGAATGAAGAATCCCCACTAACATTTTTAGAAGATATATCTTCATGATGCCACCTCCATCTCATTGCCAGCCTACTAAAGAAAGCTTTAGGGTGCTTTCTTTCTCATCCCACCCCATGGCCTCCAGTCAAGGGCACCTTAGTCTGGAGATGATGTGGCTAGAGGATGAGAGCTGCCCAGGAACTATTGGTTGGGTAAATCTGCTATAGAGGTGCTATTTCCTGCAGATCTGATTACTGGGTCCTGCAACGCTACTGCCATTTTCTATTGGCTCTGGAGATAGCACCTCAAAACCCTAAAAATAGTAATAGATTTCCCCCTTTTGATATATTTATTTATTTTATTTATTAAATTTAGATGCCACCCATTGCACCAACAAACAAGCAATAATGGCCTGCCAGGAAATAAGCCTACCAAAAGCCTGATAGGTCATCAACAGCTGTGAGAAGAGAGCCTGCCTGAGGAGGCTGGAGGTAGGAGAAGGGGAGAATGGGGAGAAAAGGAAAAAAAGGAAGAAACTACAAGCTAGGGGAGAAGAAGGGAAATTGCTGCAGCCACTCAGGAGTAGATTTTGTGAGGCATGAAGAAGAGCCATGGAGAAGCTGTTCAAGAGCTTTCCTTGATGGTGAACTGAACAAAACGCAATTGAACTGAATTGGAGGAGAAGGAAAAAGCTGCTGTGGCTGGTATGGAAAGGGAGGGAATGCATTGTCTATCAGCTGCATAGTTTATCCCCCTGGGAAGGAGAAATGTTGGCTTCAATAATGGAGTCCTCCTAAAGGAAACAGTATTATGGAGCAAATATAGTGCCACTGAAGACACTGAGCTGTTTTACCCCAAAGCCCGCATTCACTTCTTATCTGCAGTTGTGTTCTTCAGTGTATGTCTCAATCTCAATCCTTCTATTTGCAGTAGGGGCAGAGTAATGCTTACCTACTTGATTGCATATACAACAGTTATATCTTAGTACTAGTTTGGACATGTTGAGAAGGGATGGATTCTTATGATTTG